AGCAGGGGTCCAAGTACTCAGGTCATCCTCTGCTGCTCTCTGAGACACATAAGCAGGGAGCTGGATCAGAAGTGGAGCAGCCAGGTCTCAAACTACTACCCAAATGGGATGCTGGCTTCCCAGGTGGCAGTCCAATCTGCTGTCCCATAACACTGGCCCCACAGAAAGTTTCTATAAGTATTTCTTATGGTTTAGTTATCTTTAAATATCTGTATTAACATAGTCATCAAATATTTGATAAAATACTGAATATAAAAGGTATATAGTGGCATGCATTTGGTCTAATGGTCCACTTCTTAGTGCCTAGGTTGGAGACTTGGATTTGCTTATGACTAGCTTCTGGCTGCCATATATCCTGAAAAGCAGCAGGGATTGGTTCAGCTAGTTGAGTCCCTTCTACCCACATGGGAGGCAGGGATTGAGTGCCCAGCTCCTGCTTTCAGTGCCAGCCCCATCACACAGGCATTTGGGGAATGAACCAGCAGACAGGAGCACGCTTGCTCACTCGCTCTCCCTCTCTAGTAAATTTACAAAAAAAAAAAAGGCATACAGATCATATCAGTCTTAAGTAATATATACATTCTAGGCATTTATATTATATAGCTTAACAAATGATGTTATATACTTTGTAATATCCTAAGTATCTTATTTATTATATAATGGTCTCATGGCATGGAAGCTTGATAATACCAGTACTACCACTAACATGCTCACCATGACTCTACACAAAACATTTTGCTGGTTCTTAGCTTTCTCAAAATAAAAATGAGAAAATTAATTAGTTAACCTATCAGGATTCCTTCCAGATTCAAATTAGAATATCTGATAGGCATCGAAGAGATCAGATTCACCCCTCCTTTGGCGAAACATCAGAGGATTACAGTTTATTGTCACTTGCTTTTGGCTGGTTGAGAAGTAGTAAGGGAAAGTGGCACGCATCACTTCAGGTCTATAGTATTTTAATGCCTGCGAGAGATTCTCGTACTTTCTTCTTACCCTGCTGACAATCACATTCACAAAGGTGGAGGCTAGGTTTCCAAGTGACCAGGATAGAAAGCAGGATCCCACAAAAATTCATCAAGGACACGAAATGTGAGCAAGAAATATATGCTTGTAGCTTTAAGCCACCAAGATTTGGCAACTAGTTATTACTGTGACATAATCAAACATATCTTGACTGATAAAATTGGGTCAGGCAGAATTTCATAAACCAAGTATTTAAAACTCAACAAGAAATGGCAAGTCAAATTATTTCATAATTCAAAATTCTTTCCAATTTATCTTTCTTAAAATCTAAATTTTTATTATTTATAATTAAGTGTAACTGTAAGTAACATTATAAATTAACTTGCTTAGTAGTTTAGAGAGAGAAATGATATAAAAAGGAGAGTAAAACAAATAGTATGCTGATATAGTATTACATACATTGGCTCAATTTTGCTTATTTCCTACTTATATGCAAAAAGGATAAGAAATATATTTCTAGAAAATGTGTCTATCACGTGGATCAATAACTACTGAATTTTTTTTGAAGATTTACTTATTTATTTGAAAGACAAAGCTACAGAGGGAGAGACAGAGAAATCTTCCATGTGCTGGCTCACTCCCCAAATGGCAGTAATGGCTGGAGCTGGGATAGGCTGAAGCCAGGAGCCTGGAACACCATCCAGGTCTTCCACAAGGGTGTCAGGAGCTCAAGCACTTGGGCCATTTTCTGCTGCTTTCCCAGGCACATTAATTGGGATTTGATCAGAAGTAAAGCAGCTGGGACTCAATGTGGCATTTATGGGGTGCCTGTGTCACAGGAGCTGGCACAACCTGCTACACCACAACACTAGCCCTGTAACTACTATTTTATATGGAACTGTTTTCCTGATTTCCAAAGTTGGCAATCCTATTTATATTACCTTCTTAGGTTCCTTCCTTTCAGAAATTTTCCAGATTTTAATAACAAAGCTTATTATTTATTTTTCCCTCATATCTTGAAAACTCACTAACTTTGTTTAGTTCTACTCCAAAGTTAAAGAAATTGTTCCTTCCACACAAAGTAGAATACAGAGAATGAAAAGAGCTGTGGGGCATGGGGGGGGGGGTGGTTTGGGGAGGGCATGCAGGGAACATTTTCCAATGTTCAAGTCTATTAGTTGCCTAACTTGCATTGATGGAACTTTTTCTTTTTCATTTTTAGTATAAAAAATCAGTGAGAAAATAAGACTACAAGCTATTTGAATTAAATATTTAAAATATTTACACTCTTAAGAACATTATCAAAAACTTGCTCTTAAAATGCTTAGCAATACAACTACAAAGTAAATGTTTCTGAGCAAACTTTTAGTATCTATAAAGTGCTTTTTCTGCCAAAAACAGATTTCAAAGTCTTATCCCTTATGATCTGGCTTCTTTCCTGACCACTTAACTGACCTAATTGTTTCTTTTCAGAACTCACCCTAGATAATCTCTTTGTAGTGCCTAACACCACTGAAAAAGGCTTTATAGTCTTGCAATTCTGGGAAAAAGTATTTCAAACAGGAAAGATCAAGTGCCAAAGGCCTAAGGCCAAGATGGTTTCTGACTTGTGTGGGCAACAACAAGGAAGTAGGTGTGTGACTGAAGCATATGGAAGGGGAAAACTATAGGAAGTAAAATCAAAGTCACAGGAGGGGTGAAGAAGCCATCTAGAACCCTGTAGGATCTGGCTTTTCCTCTGTAACACCAAGGGAGTTTCAGGCACAGGAGTGACACGATTTAACTTACATTTTAAAGTGAAATCCGTGTTAAGACAGGAGAGGGGTGCTAAGGAGAGTATTTAGGAGCCTACAGCAATAATCCAGGTGAGGAATAATGGTGACTTAGTTCAGGAAGATGGGAAGATTTGACTGCATTCAAATATATTTTGAAAGAGAAGATGACAAAGTTTGTGATTTGACTGGATATGAAGTGTGGGAGAAAAAAATAACCAAGAATGAGTCCAAAGTTTCAGGTCTGAATGACTCAAAGAACAGAACTGCCATTTATGAAGATGGCAAAGCTTAAGGACTTGGAGGGAGAGCACAAGCTCATTTGAACCAAAGACTTTCCAATGGAGCTGTCACCCAGGACTGTTTTAAGAACAGTCTTAACTACAGAAACAAATTTCAGTCACTAAAACTGATAACATTTAATGCCATGAAACTGGAAATTATGTTGATACAAAGAGGACTGATCCAGGAAATATTCCAATATTCAGAGTTGGGAGAGATGAGAAAAAATTAGAAAAAAAACCAAAGTGATAGAGAGTCAAAAAAGTAAGAGGAAAACCAGGAGAGGGGCAGGTGCTGTGACGCCAATAGTTTAAGCTATTGCTTATGATGCCAGCATCTCACATTGAAGTGCTGGTTTGAGTCCTGGCTGCTCTACTTCAAATCCAGTAGGTGATGGCCCTTGAACTTGGGACCCTGCCTCCCATGTAAGAGACCCAGATGGAGTTCCAGGATCGTGGCTTTGGCTTGGCCCAGATCTGGCTGTTACGGCCATTTGGGAGACCAGGAAGAAGCTTCTGGCTCCTAGCTTCAGATCAGCCCAGCTCCAGTTGTTGTGGCCATTTAGGGAGTAAACCAGAGGATGGAAAATCTCTCTCTCTCTGTCTCTCTGTAAACTTTGCACATCAAATTTTTTAAAAAATTGTTTAAAAAATTAAGTAGAAAAAAATTCAGGAAAAATAGTTTTCTTGAGAATCTTTCAAGAAATGACTGTGTTAAGTATTACTGATGGGTTAAAATCATCAAATACTATTTCTTCTGTGTCCAAAAATACATCCTAATGGCTCCACTTTATTATCCAAGTTTCCCCTGTGAACTATTTCTCCTATCCTGGAAAAGTATTCCTTACACCTTACATAGCAAACAATATTTAAAATATAAAAATCATGTCAAATATCCAATTTATCATTTTTTTGTTTTCCACTGCATCTAAAATAAAATCTATACTTCTAATTTTGGCCCATAAACCCCTTCTAGCCTCTTGATTTCTTTCTCCCAGTTATCTCTCTTGTTACTTTCCATCTACACAGGCATTTATTTTTTTCTTAAAACATACATTCTCATTCGATGCCCTGACATCAATCTCCTATACCCAGAATACACTCCCTTAGCTCTTTATCTGGCTGGCTCTCAATATGCAGGCAGGTGTAGGCGGAACATCTCTAATTGCCTGCAAGGGCTTCATTACACTGAATCAAACCTCTTTCTGTGTAATTTCCAACCACAGTCCTTTGGAGTTATGTCCAGTAGGTCTAATTCCTGCTGTATATATAGACATTTGTATTTTAGAGTACAGTTAAATAGATTCCCTATATCTTCCCTTTCAGAGGATCAATAAATCCATTTCATTCAATGATTATTTTTGTGATTATTTTGAATCCCACCTTTTCCATGCTGTTAATTTAGAAATCCATAATTTATTAATTTTCATCTCAAAAAATTATGCTCAGAACTTAATACCATGTCCTTACTCTTCAATTTGCTCTGAATAGTGCAGTTAGTATATCTTTCTTAGTCTATGCAGACATCATATTATTTTGTATAATTATACTGATGGTCCTGATAGAAAACTCATAATTGATATCTAATATTTTTCATAGACGACACTGCAAAATAAAATGAAAATAATTCTAACAACAACAACAAAAACCCACCCTTTATCAAGAAAACTACATGTGGCAGATACAATCATGACACTGAAGAACTGATTTTTGGGCAACTATGCCTCTAGTACTAGTTTCTCAGCTATTGCACTGAGCACTCATTGCTGCCCAACATTATCCAAAGTAATGTATAGATTATTTTACATTATTTTTCCTATTTCAATGATCTTTATGAGGAAGTCTTACTAATATTTCTAATTTTTAACCTCCTCATAAAGAACCACAAAAACATTTTGCTGCAAGATAGCTATAGCAAGCCCAGTGCTACCCGAAAAATATCAATTTCTCTTTGTTTAGTACCATCATTTTTGTTTCTTAGGAGGAAAGGGAAGATGAAAGACCGACTTCAAGAACTAAAGCAGAGAACAAAAGAAATCGAAGTTTCTAAAGATAGTCACCTGCCAACTACAGAAGCAGAAGAACAAGGGACATTTCTGCAGCAAGCTGTTATTTATGAAAGAGAGCCTATAACTGAGAGACACCTACATGAAATCCAAAAACTACAGGAGAGTATTAACAACTTGACAGATGATGTTCAAAAATTTGGGCAGCAACAGAAAAGTCTGGTGGCTTCAATGAGAAGGTTTAGTCTACTTAAGAGAGAGTCTAGCATTACAAAGGAGATAAAAATGCAAGCGGAAAACATTAACAGGGGTTTGGATGATTTAGTTAAAGAAGTCAAGAAGTCAGAGGCTGAAAATGGTCCATCATCAGTGGTCACAAGGATACTTAAATCTCAGCATGCTGCAATGTTCCGCCATTTTCAGCAAACCATGTTTGTATACAATGACACAATAACAGCAAAGCAAGAGAAGTGCAAGACATTTATTTTCCGTCAGCTCGAAGTTGCCGGAAAGGAGATGCCTGAGGAAGAAGTAAATGATATGCTTCATCAGGGAAAATGGGAAGTTTTTAATGAAAGCATACTTACAGAAATCAATATCACTAAAGCCCAACTTTCAGAGATTGAACAGAGACACAAGGAACTTGTTAATTTGGAGAACCAAATAAAGGACTTAAGGGATCTTTTCATTCAGATATCTCTTTTAGTAGAGGAACAAGGGGAAACTATCAACAACATTGAAATGATGGTGAACAGTACAAAAGAATATGTTAGCAACACTAAAGAGAAATTTGGACTAGCTGTAAAATACAAAAAAAGAAATCCTTGCAGGGTATTGTGTTGTTGGTGCTGCCCATGCTGTAGTTCAAAATAAAGAAACTATTTTAAAAAAAAAAGTTTCCTAGTTTCAGGATAAAGGACGTCTCATATTTCAGTGCCTTTGTTTTACTTCAGTTCAGGGATCCATTCATAAGTTTCTCATCACTGTTAAATTGTAATTTTCCTCCTTAATCTTTACCCACTTGAATTACAGAAAACTTCCTAAATTTATCATTTGAGAACATATGAGTAGTTGAGAATTCTATTAAAGGAGACCTCAAAAGGTGTTATAATTAAAAACAAAGCAAGCAATGTAGAATCTGTATCAAATTTTTTATCCTCAGTCAGATAAGAGCTCAGTGGTCAACAGATACTAGAAAAACACAAATATGTGCTTGATGGAAAAAATCAAATTAGTAACCAGGAGCTGAATCTAGCTTAAGAACTAAGAAGGTAAGTTAAGGCACTACCTGCTTGCTTGCTTTTTTTATTTATTTGAAAAACAGAGAGAAGGTATGGGGACAGAGACAGAAAGAGATCTCCTATCTGTAAATTCATTCCCCAAATGCCATGATGGGCAGGCTTAGGCCAGGGCAAAACCAAGAGTCAGGAACTCCATCCAGGTCTCCCACATGAGTGATGGGGGCTAAATACCTGAGTCATATTCCACTGTCTTCCAAGGCACATTAGCAGGTGGGTGGATTGTAATCAGAGCAATCAGGACTCAAATCAGTTGCTCAATATGGGATGCCAGCACTGCAGACAGTGCCTAACCCACTGCACCACAATGCCAGCCCCAGCACTGTTTTCTTGAATGTAACTCCATTCAGGACACCATACTACAGAGCATGGGGCCCAGCAGATACAGTTACAGTAACAACAACTGAACTGTTTTGTCACCACTTTATGATGATGCCAGGCCCTACACTGTAAACTAGAGACATAGCTTGAACTGACACAGGGGATAATTTTGAAACTCACATTTTAGTGGAGAAAGCAGATAAATATAATTATTAAATAATGTTAAGCTCTGGGCAAAGACTTAAAGGTGAAACAGAGGCTTGAGAGTGGCTTTTTATCTTAGGTACTTGTCAAGTGATGGCCACACTGAAAGGAAATTTGAGTATTTAAGTGAAGATACGAAGGACGAAGAGAAGGGAAAGTATATTATAGGCATAAGTGACAAATAGTAGAAAGACTTCAAGAAGGCTATTACATACTCTGTTGAAAGGAAAAATGACAGTAAAGATGGTGGCATAATGGGAAAAAAAAATGAAGCAACAGGTGATGTTAAGAAAGTTCAGCAGGGCCTGCTGCTATGGTGCAGCAGGTTAACGCCCTGGCCTGAAGCGCCAGCATCCCATATGGGCGCTGGTTCTAGTCCCGGCTGCTCCTCTTCTGGTCCAGCTCTCTGCTATGACCTGGAAAAGCAGTAGAAGATGGTCCAAGTCCTTGGGCCCCTGCATCCACATGGGAGACCTGGAAGAAACTCCTGGCTCCTGGCTTTGGATTGGCACAGCTCCAGCCGTTGCAGCCAATTGCGGAGTGTACCATCGGATGGAAGACCTCTCTTCTCTCTCTGTGTAACTCTGACTTTCAAATAAATAAATAAGCCTTAAAAAAAAAAAGTCCAGCAGGGGCCGGCACTGTGGTGCAGCGGGTTAAGCCACCATCTGCAGTGCCAGCATCCCATATGTGCATTGATTCAAGTACCAGTTGTTCCACTTCCAACCCAGCTCCCAACTGATGGCCTGGGAAAGCAGCAGAAGATGGCCTAAGTCCTTGGGCTGCTGCACTCACCTGGAAGACCCGGAAGAAGCTGCTAGCTCCTGGCTTTGACCTGGCCCAACCCAGGGCCATTGCAGCCATTTGGGGAGTGACCAGGGGATGGAAGATCTCTCTCTCTCTCTGTAACTCTTTCAAATAAAGAAATAAATCTTCTAAAAAAATCAGTAACAGACTTAAGGCTTTGTAAGCCATGAAATGAAATAGGTATAATGCAAAGTTCTCAGACCTCTAGTTTGGTAAGATTATATAACTTATACCTGAAAAGGTCACTCTGTCGACTGTAAGGACAGTGAGTTAGAACAGATTAAAAGGAGGTGAGTAGAGGACAAGCAACCAGGTATAGAAAATAATAAGATGCTAATGCCATAGTCAAGGGTGAGAGATGATGATGGTCTGGGCTACAATAGAGTTAGGTGGTGATGAAGGTTGCAACAATTACTAATGCTAAACATTACTAAGGTACTTGCTATGCCCAGTCACTGTTTTAATAATTTTACAGTAAATGAAGTATGAAGATACTATTATTACAATTACACTAATGAAAATATTTAAGCATATAAGGTTAAATAACCTGTTCCAGACAAAGAAACTGTACACAGCGAACAGGCATTTGAACCCACACAGTCTGATTCCAGACACAGTTCTTAAGCACTACAGACTATAGTGGCGACAGTAAAAATCATATTAGCATGTGATAGCCTTAAGAGAGAGAATCTGCAGAATGCTTAGCAGTTGGTGATGACATTTATTGAAATTGAAAAAGACGGATGAAGGTTTCAGAATTAACCAGGTGAGAAAGAAATCAAGCATTCATTTTATCCAAGAGAATCTGAAATAATTATAAGATGTAAAATACAAACATGTAGAATATTAGCTATATCAGTAGGGGTTCTTGGGATATGTCAGTTGAGTGATCAATAGATAAATGGTATATAAAGGTTGGGTGACCTGAAAAGGTAAGTGGATATAAAAACAGCAAGTTCAATAAAGAGTCTGCTGTATTCTAAAAATGAGGCTTAAAGCTGAAGAGTTGTAAAAGAGACAAAAAATGGAAAGTGAGGTAGGAGGAAAACCAAAAAAGTGTGCTATAATGCAAAAGAAATTTTAAAGAAGAAAAAAGTAGAAGAAACTCTCAACTTCAGGTTAAACATGAGAAGCAAAGCAACAATAGATATGGCAACACGGAGACAACTGTTACTCCAACAAGAGTAGTTTCAAAGAATTTTAAGGACAGAAACACAAGCAGAACATGTTAAAGAACATGACATAAAGAAATAGAGCAGCCACTAGATAATTCTTCCCAGAAGATTGAATAGGGCACTGTAGAGAAGAGTCAGTAACTTGAGAGGGATGTAAAGTTAAAGCATTCCACAATACTTAAAAGTAAGAAACCTAAGAGTGCATTCTGCTGATGAGAATGAATCCACTGAGAGAAACTCCTGATATAGAACGGGGATGGGCTAGGTATTGAGGTAGAGTGGCTAAACCATCACTTGGGATGCCTGCATCCCATATCAGAGTGCCTGGGATCAAGTCATGCCTCCACTTCTGATCCAGCTTCCTGCTAATTCACCTGGGAGGCAGAAAAAAACAGCAAGTATTTGAGCACTCGGGAGATTTGATTGGAGTTTCTGGTTCCTGGCTTTGGTTGGCCCAGTCTCAGGTTTTATAGCATTTGAGAGTGAACCAGTGGGTGGGAGATCTCTCTCTGTTGCTGTCTTCCAAATAAATAAACATTTTCTTTTTATGGAGAAGGAATAATACGCAAAAGCAGAAACAGCTGAGATTTGGAAGTACAAATGGAAAGGCTGGCCTTGGGTTGGAGCAGAAACACATCTTCCATATGATAGGTGGGAAGGCAGAATTTAGGAATAAAAGCAGATAGCTGAATAAATCTGGTGGCAGGAAAAATAAGGAACTCTTGTTTGATTGTTCCCTTAAAGAACCATGAGGAAAAACTCAACTGAAAGCACAACAGGATCAAGAAAGACAGGGAGAAAGGACAAGGAGAAACAGTCATTTTGGAGAGAAGGATAAGAAATATTAAGAGAATGGTAGTGGGCTAACCAGACAGTAATCAGGGCCCACCTGAAATGTGTGGTCACAACATTAAGGTAGAATTAGCCACTTCAGTCATGGGTTTTCAACCAATAAATGCTTAGTGCTTGGGTGGTGGCACAGAAGGTGCAGACAATGGTCCACAACAAGATAGTGGCTTTTCCAGGGATGTACAGTGGAAGAGAAAAATGGACCAATGGAGTTTGGGGTACTTAACAACACTGGATTTATATATGTAATAAATACACATATATCATAAATACTGTGATTTTTAACTTAAAAAAAATAAAGAAAATAAAAACTCTACTATTAACTACCAAGCATCACTGGTGAAAAAAATGTTTCAGATACTTCAGTTTAGAATATTTAGGGAGGGCCGGCAACACGGCTCACTTGGCTAATCCTCTGCCTGCGGCACCAGTACCCCAGGTTCTAGTCCTGGTTGCTCCTCTTCCAGGCCAGCTCTCTGCTGTGGCCCAGGAAGGCGGTGGAGGATGGCCCAAGTGCTTGAGCCCTGCACCCACATGGGAGACCAGGAGAAGCACCTGGCTCCTGCCTTCGGATTTGCGCAGCGCACCAGCCGTAGCAGCCATTTGGGGGATGAACCAATGGAAGGAAGACCTTTCTGTCTCTCACTGTCTAACTCTGCCTGTCAAAAAAAAAAAAAAAAGAATATTTAGGGAATATAATTTTACAAAGAAATTTAAAATAGATGATCATCTCCATAGCTAACTAGATAGTGATACACATATCTCTCCTAAAATTGTATCTTAAGCTTAGTGATACTTATTTATAACTGTTCCTACCTTGTTTATCATGAAAGGTGATAACATCAAGCACTACTCAATATTCATTAGTATAATTATATCCAGATGGATTTATAAAATATTTTCCATTAGCATTTTATATGTCTACACAATGCTTTTAAACATCCATTTATTTTTGTGAGGCACAGCAATAGAGAGAGAGAGAATGCTTCCAGCCACTGGTTCACTCTCCAAACACCCTAAACACCTTGAGTTGGGCCAGGCCAGAGTGTGTTGGGGATGGAGGGAGAAAGGAGGGGAACTTCTGCAGGCTTCAGTGTTTAAATGACTTACAAAGTCAACTAGCTGAGCAGCTTTACTGAAAAGTGCAGCTGCTACAGGTGAAGGTGAATGCTATTAACAGACAAAAGGAGGGGTTGGCACTGTGGCACAGAGGGTCAAAGACCCAGCCTGCAGCATCTGCATCCCATGTGGGTACAGGTTCAAATCCCTGCTACTCCACTTAGATCCAGCTCCCTGCTAATAAGCCTGGGAAAGCAGTGGATGACAACCCAAATCCTTGGGCCCCTGCACATGGTAGACCCAGAAGCAGCTCCTGGTTCCTGCCTTCGGATTGGCTCAGCTCCAGCCATTGCAGCCATTTGGGGAGTGAACCAGCGGATGGAAGACTCTGTCTCTCTCTCTCTCTCTCTGTAACTCTTTCAAATAAATAAAATAAGTCTTTAAAAAAAATTCAAAAGGAAGCCCTCAGTAAGGAAGTTTGGAGGTGAGTCAACACTGTAAGAAAATAAGAGAAATGAAGACACTGCATTGGAGGAAAACCCTAAGCCACTGGCCCTATAAATTCAGTTAGTAGGAGATTCAGAGTAAAATTAGTAAATTAGGAAACTCATCACTGTATCTAAGAATCGAGTGATGATGTGACATAGGTAAATACTTACATGTCTCCAGTATTCTAAAAAATGATCCAAATCTCCAACTTACTATATAAACTTAGCATATTTGACTCAAAATTTTTTTCAAAAAATATTAGTTTGTATTTTTTAAGTATAGAGTTCCAGAAAGAGGATGGACAGAGGTCTTCCTTCTAAACAATTCAGTCACCAAATGACCATTAAAAGCCAGGATTGGGCCAGGACAAAGCCAGGTGACAGGAACTCTGTCCAGATTTCCTGCATGAGTGGTAGGGGTCCAAGTACTTGTGTCATCCTCTTCTGCCTTTCCAGGCTCAATAGCAAGGAGCTGGATCAAACACAGAGCAGCTGGAACTTAGACCAGCACTCTGATACAGGATGATGGTATCAGAAGCAGTGGCTTAACCCATTGTACCACAACATTGGCCCAAATTTTTTACTCAATTTCCAACAACAATATTAGGTTAATCTATAACCTCCTGAGCTTCTTCTGGGAAATTTGTAAAGATATGACTCAGGGGCAGGCACTATGACACAGCAGATTAAATCTTGGCTTGGGATGCCTGCATTTGAAGAGCTTGTTCCAGTTGTAGGTATTCTCAAGCTCCCTGCTGTGTCTGGAAAGCAGATGATGGCTCAAGTAACTGAGTTCCTGCCATCCATGTAGGAGAATCAGATGGAGTTCCTGACTCGGTTTTGGCTTGTCTCAGCCCTGGCTTTTGAGATCATTTAGGAAGTGAACCAGCAGATGGAAAATCTCCCTGTCATTCTGCCTTCCAAAAAAATATAACTCAAAGAAAATTGTATTTTCCTAACATTTCCCAGTAATACTAATATTTTCCTATAATATTATCTAGAAGTGAGTCAGGTGAGCACATAAAGACTAAAGACAAAAATTTTGTACTGAAAAAATAGTAACAAAAATCTGGTTATTGTTTCTCCTAATATGGATATTCACTGCATGCTTTTTAATCTTTTTGGTCATAAATTCCCTTTACAAATTGGATGAGAGGATCTACTCCCAAGAAAAATGCACATGCAGTGGGAATTGTGTATATGATTTCATAGGGAGGCCACTCACGGGCAAAAGTCCCTAGAACAGGCGGGTGTTCAGGTGCAGCAGGCTAAGCAGCTGGTTGGGATGCCCACATCCCTCTCTGAAGAGCACCAGTTCAGGTCCCAGTTGTTCCACTTCTGATCAAGCTTCTTGCTAATGCACCCTGGGAGGCAGCGATGGTTGTTCAAACGCTTGGAGCCCTGCCACACTTGTGGGAAACCCAGATGAAGTTCCAGGCTCCCAGCTTCAGCCTGACACAATGGTGGTTGTTGCAGACATTTAGGGAGTGAATGGAACAGTGGATGGAAAATAGAACTTTG